GTAATTTGAAAACGCCTGTAGACGCGCACCGATTGCCTCGTGGCCTTGCGCAGCAAGGTGTTGCACGCCCTCAGGGCCAAGCAAGGACATTAGGTTGGTAAGCCCGTCCTGCATGCCCTGGGACAAAGAGGAAAGTTGTTCGATCCTCACAGAGGAACAGTCTAAACGACTCAGGTGTAGATTGACTACATGTGCTACCAAATGCAGTGGGGCTGCCGTAGCTTTGCGCTTTGAGGAAGCGTAAGTTAGGTCACCGACCTTTCGTTCTACAAGTACGAGTTTAGCAGATCGTAATCCGCTTACTCCAAGAGTAATTATTGACTTAACCAAGGCTAATTAACTCCTTCTTTTGAAATCCAAGACTGACTTTTATTTGTTTTTATCTGCGGCAAACCCGCCTAATTCAAATGAATAGATTTTCATGAATATTTATAGTGAAATCTAAATACATGCATAACTACTGGTTACCCAGCTACATACCGTTATAGTTGGTATTAGCTTAGCTTTTGCAGCTTAGCTTTTCAATATTCGGAGCTTAGCTATTTAGCTTCAGCTTTTTCAAATCTCAAGCTAAGCTAAGTTAAGCTAAGCTAAAGCTATCTGGAAAGCTGCGAGCAAAGCTATTCAAAATTGGCGCCAAAATGTTTGCCAAATGTAAACCCTAGTCACGGCGTTGCCCGCGCTCGCCAGCAGAATCACCGTTACATGACAGCTTGCACAGCTTTCGTAGCTGTTTCACCCCAGCATCCAGTTGATTTATTTGACTTTGGTGAAATGTCATATGGTGTTCCGTGTCAGCGGTTCAGGACTGTTTTTATTTCATGTGCCTCGGTGGATGCGGAATATTTCGATCTGTATTACTGCCTGCTTCGTGACAAGTATCGTTGATGAGCTGATCGTTCGTGTACATCAAGCTGCACTCTGCAGCCGTGGCTCGTAAAGACTCGATGTCTGGGGTCTAGCAGATAGCAGGTAGTATTGCGTAGGAAAGAGGTGGCACTTGTGATTGGTTATTCGTCGCTGCGGATCGATAATTTGACACAGGTCCGCAAGCAATTTTCGGACCAGATTTTGCTTCTTCCGGCGTCACGACAGCG